TGTATGCAATGTGTTAATTATTGAAACTGTCCTACCAATTTGATTTGAAACTGTCTCATTGCTATTTGTTTATCAATAAAATTATGGGGAAAAAAACCCACATCCACCTCCTATGTCCCCAAGAGTTGAGGAAGCTGGAATCAGGGAACAGGCCTTTCCAGAATTGTCACTTCTTACAATAACAAAATGTGTCCGTGGCAAATAAAATAATCTATGGAAGTTGGCTTGGTGGAAGATGCTGGATTCCATGAAAATTTCTGATGGAATGTTACCATCTGCTTGCCAGAGGATGATTTTAGAGTCACTGAAAGAGAGACTCCCAAAATATTTTGGTTTGCTTCATTTGGGGCTTTCTAAACATTTACTGTTTAAAATCATTCAGGTTAATGATTAAAAATGCTGTTTATTCTGTCAAAAGAAATGTACAGGGCACTCTGGGGTCCCTGAGCATCCCCAGGCTCAACTGCCACCTTACTGTTATGCTTCTCGGTTCTGTCCCTTTCATAGAGCTGAGCACGGAGGAGAAAAACAACTGTATAAAAGCCACCAGCACACTGTGTGGTAAGTGGGGATTTTGAGGATGTCAGAGGGGCAGATCGGTGGTCACACTGAGGTGGGACTCATGGTGGTTCTTTCTGGGTAGGCGTTTGCAGCCCCATCTGACTCCCCAAAGTTCTGACAGAGACACCAACTAGAGCCATGTGGTCTTAGTAAGATGCGTCACCTCTGAGTCTCAGCGGATCACAATGAACCATGCCAGCTAGGTCCTTGGGAATCATCTTCAGGTGGACTACAAAATGATCCTTCATTTATATCCCCCCTTTTTTTTGTTTTGTCAGAGATGGGTATTCCATTGCCATTCAAATATTGTTGCTTCCTGAATGCAGCAAAATAACCCACATAGTCCAGTAGTCTGTAATAGTAGTGGGTTATCAGCAGAACTGGCAATGTCAGAAGTTGTTGACTTGAGTCTTTTACAGCTCAGCATCTTAATATGGCTTTACTATTGATACCTCATGAAGAGACCTTGTTGCACAAGCTCCCGTAGCTCATCCCCGAGCTTGTGGTGTCCAACATGCAGAAGTGAAATTCTCTACTTTGGGTCCCTCAAAGCTCAACCTGCAGGCAACATCCTGTGTTTGTTATGATGATTGTGTAAAACACGGTTGGGAGATGGGCCCCACTGGTTGTGGATTGAATCTGAGCGTTCCCCACAACACACATTCATGTGGTAGAGTTCCCCAGCCTGTGTTCCTCAGAACTGTGACATGATTACTTGCAAAGAGAGTGTTTGCAGAAGTAATTAACTAGGCTGAAGCCAAACAGGAGTTTGGTGGCTCCTAAACCCAATATGGTTGTGTCCTCACCGTAAGGGAAGTTTGGACACAGTCCAAACACAGGGAAGAAGCCCTCCAAAGATGAAGTTAGGGGTTGGGGTGATACATTCGAAAAACAAAGACCACCAAAATAGCCAGCAGGGCCTTAGAACCAGGAGAGAACCCTGGGCAGCTTCCAAGGGATGCAACCCCAAAACACCTTGATCCTGCGTTTCCAGTCTCCAGAAGAGTAGGGAATTCAGACACAGTGGCCCCTGCCTGCCATCCCAGCACACCAGGAGGATCCCAAGTTTGAGACTAGCCTGACTCAAAATGGGAGGGGGAGAGAGAGAGAGAGAAAGGGGGAGGAGGAGGAGGAGGAAGAGGAGAAAGAGGAGGAGGAGGAGGAAGAAGAGGAAGAGGAAAAGGAAGGAAGAAAGACAGGCTGGAATCTAGCTCAGTATGAAAGCTCTGGGTTTAAATTCCCATCCTGAAATTCACTCAGAGATCCAAATCCCTGTGTTCAGACACAGAATTACAAGATGATCTAAAAGCCAATCTTTCCTCCTCATCCATGAACTGCAGCCATTGCTAACAGCTCTGAAAAACAAGACCTATCACCTACAGGTACAAACACCCTGTGGTCAATGTGATCAGTATGCATACCTAAAATGTGCCTCCCCAAAAAAGTTGAGAAAAGCTATTTCTGCTCACTTATTATCTGCCTTCTAAACTTCTACATCTTATTGCTCTGAGTGCATGCATTAGAAAGGCAACAAGCTGATCAAAACAAAACTCTAAAACTGTATACTGCCCTTTCACACAGCCCCTCTAAGCCTACCACAGCCTCTGCAACTGTATTTTTAAATGAGGTTTGGGGGAATTCCCTCGGCTCCCTTGAAGGCAAACC